CTGGGTTAGATCACCGCTGAAGCTCGTTAGGGTCTCGTTGGTGGTGCATGGCTGGTGCAGTGCAAAGACCCCCTGATTCCAGCTGAATAGCCTCTAAGACCATTTCCTTCGGCGGTCCAGCTATCTGCGTTCTGGCTGCGCTCACCGCTGCCGGGTCGAGAGGACCTGGGGTTCCTGCACTGGCTTGCTAAGGGCAAGTCCCTTCATCTCCCCGGGCCTCTGCTTCCCCATCTGTGAAATGGGGAGAGTGGCTCCTCTGCACTACAGACTAGTGCTACGATTATTAAGGGCTCAAACAGCAGGGCAGAGCGGTCAGGCTTCGACGGAGCTCTGTAAGGAAGGCGTCTACAGCCTTTGCCCTCGTTGAATTGGCTGCACGGCTTGCCATCTGCCCCTTAGGCCCATAAACTCCACGTTGCAGGAGGATATTGAGGAAATCACCCTGAATTCTGCAGTGTTTAGTAAACTACCTTCTCCCCATGTCCAACATCTCAGAAATGCCGCGGCACATGTGCCCCCTACGGCATCAGCCTAATGGAGTCACTCTGGCTCTTAGCTGCGCTGAAGGCAGGCATTGAAAACACCCCTCCTCTTTTACAACACACGCTGCCAAGATCAGCCCTAGAAAGTGGTCGTGCTGTGCTAATGTGGGTTAATGGAAACCTCTGAATCAATTTTCACTCCCAGACAAAACCCCCCCCGGTGTAGGCCACGAAGGCTGTAATGCTGGAAATGGCTCAGGATCTTGGTAAAGAAAAAAAAAATAAAAATAAAAAAAATGGCACATTGTAGTTCAACAAAGAGGGGGCTCAGTGACATTTTTCTGGGTAATTAACTGGGTCTGTAGCCATTGCCCCAAGGGGAGCACCGGGTTTTGACACGCAGTGAGTTCTGCGCAGAGCCGCAGCGGTGCTTGGCTCGACAAGGACAATGGGAATTTCTGCTATAGTGCTCCCCTCTCGGTTGCAGCCTGGCGTGCGCCCGGCTCCCCGGTGCGGCGGCTCTGGGAGCCATCTCATTCTGTGCCGCAGCCGGAGGTAATGCAGAGGTGTTGCCTTTATTATCCTGCCCTGGGGTATAGGCAATGCTAACCCAGCGGGTGATTTCCACCGAGCCATCCAAGGGGATCGCGCACTCTCTCGCACAATGTCTGGCTTCTCCGCTGCTCGAGTTGCCCTTGCTGCCTCCTACGTGCTGATGTGTTTCACACAGAGGAAACATGAATGGCTCGACATCACACGGCTCCACCGTACACGGCTTACATGTCAAGGTCACCCAATGACATCATAGCTACTGCTGGGATTAAATCGGGATAACATTTGAGTTGTCCTAGAGAGCCAGAGACTGACAAACTGCTCCAGAGCTCAGGCTGGATTTTATCTGGATCGCAACCTCATTATCTGACTGCAGTTTGCTGGGAGTGTTACAGCAGCACCTATAGCCCTGCAGGGATCAGCGCCGTGTTTTGCGAGGCACTATATGCACCTGCAATAAACACCTCCATCTCATTTGAATAAGCAAAACATATTTTTATTCACTTTTTACATCGGGCAGCCCTGGGCCCTCCTGGGTTTTCAGGCATGCCCATCCATCTCAGGGAGATTCCCTTCGTTCAGACTTCAAAGTTCAAAGCATTTTTGTAAAGCCGTCCGCCCGATGTGGCACGAGCCGTTTTGCGCCTGCAGGGATTTGCAAGCGCAGAGCCTCGCGAGCCTCACGCCCGAGGAAGTGAATGGTGCGGACCGGTTGTTACACAAAGGACACCGTCAGAAAGGGGATTCCAGTCTAAATGGCTCATCAGTCCATCCTGGGTCGGCAATGCTGTTCCCAAGAACGATGTGGCTGGAAGTGACATCGAGCGCAGACCGATGCCACCAATCCCACCCTGGGAAGAAAGGGATGTCTTTCCTGACAGCGCTGGAGTCAGTCCTGTCATTTTTGTCAGCTAACTATTCAGCCTGGCACATGCAAGGCTCCCCTGCTCCTATTCAGTTCAGTGCCACTGTTTAATTTATCCTCCCATTTGGTAACAAACTCCAAACATGGTCAGACAATGCAAAGCCATCAACCGAACAAAACCTTTCGTTTTCACCAGTGAATGAGACGCTTGACTCACGGGCTAGGACGAGGCCCTCCAATAGAAGGAAAAATCTACCCAACGCTATTAAACTTCAATCAAACAATGCAGAGGGTTGTGGAGGTAACGGGAACATTTAATGAGTCAGAGCATTATCGGCTCAGCAGCGGAACAGCAGCCCAGTAAATAAGTGTTGCTCCTGAAGGATTCCTGCCTTTCAGATACCATCCACTCCCACGGCCTCGCAACCCCGCTCGCCTCGTCTCCCCAAGCAATGCCTTGGAAAGCAACTCTTCCTTCTCACTGGCTCCGTGGGAGGTTTCTTTCACGTGGGCCAGCATCCCTGAATAGGCCTGGCCTTCACATGGCTTTAGATCTTCCCTGCACTCGACCCCTCTGCCGCCCCTTTTTCATTCATCAAATCATAGAAAAGGAGGGTTGAAGGGACCTCAGGAGGTCACATCCAGTCCAACCCCTGCTCCAAGCAGGACCAGCCCCAACTACATCATCCCAGTCAGGGTTTTGTCTAGCCAGGTCCTAAAAACCTCCAAGGATGGAGACTCCCCCACCTCTCTGGGTGACCTGTTCCAGTGCTTTACTACCGTCCTCATGAGAAAGTTTTTCCTAATATCCAACCTCAACTTTCCTTGCTGCAGCTGGAGCCCATTGCTCCTTGTCCTGTCATCTGTCCCCACTGAGAACAGCCCAGCTCCATCCTCTTTGCAACCCCCTGCGGGGAGCTGAAGGCTGCTATTTAATCCCCCCTTGGTCATCTTTTCTCCAGGCTAAATAAGCCCAGTTCCCTCAGCCTGTCCCCCAGCTACCAAATCATTTTCTTTGCCCTCCACTGGACTCTTTCCAATGCGCCCACATCCTTTCTGTACTGGGGGGCACAACTGGACACAGAACTCCAGATGTGGCCTCCCCAGTGCTGAATAGGGGGGAATAATCATTTCTCTTGCCCTGCTGGCCCCGCTCCTGCCAATGCAGCCCAGGATGCCATCAGCCTTCTTGGCACCAAGGGCACACTGCTGGCTCCTCTTCCAGATTGTTGTCCCCTGTCCCCCCAGGTCCTTTTCTGCAGAGCTGCTGCCCAGCCCGTCACCCCCAGCCTGCAGGGCACATGTTTGCAGACATGACTACTGCTAGCCTCTTTTAGCCCTGTACCATTTCCTTCCTACCCTTCTTTGGCTAACCCCAGGATGGATGTGAACACAAAGAGGCCCAATTCTCGCCTCCGCTGGCTCCCATCTTGGGAGGCTGGGCAGGGGGGAACAGGGCTCCCCGAAATGGGTGCATGCTGGCCAAACCATGGATTCAATTGTGAGGAGATGTTTTTGCTCTCCCTTCCTCTAGCAACCACCTTGCTTTGCAGCTGCCGTGTTGCCTCTGCTTTCCCTAGGTGGTTCACGTGGGTCCTTGTCTCCTTGCAGGAGGCCAGGGAAGCCTGGCCTTCTTGCTCTCACTGCTGGGAAGGAAGAAGCAGCCAGGGTTTTAGGGAAGGCCGGCAGAAAGCATCCCTGCTTTTGGCGGAGAACAGGCTCTCCACCCTCCGGCTTAGGATGCAGGCAGCGTAGCATCTGGAGCCGCACAGCTGCACGGAGCAATTCAGAAATTGCCTTGTTGGACGACAATGTGCCAATTTTTCAAATCTAGAGCCATTTTCAGTATTACAGCCTGTGCCGCCACAGCCAGGAGGATTTTCTTCAGGGAGTGAAAATTGATTCAGAGGTTACCATTAAACCCCATTAGCGCAGCACGGCCCCTTTGAGAGCTATGCGAGGAAGGGAGCGTGCTGGAAAGGGGCGGGGGGGTCAACACCCAACTTCAGCGGAGCTAAGTGCACGGGTCAGTGGGATCCCCGTATCACAGGGAACGTGCGAGCACGTGCGTGCAAGACAGGCACGCTAATGGGCCTTTATGCAGATGGAGGAAGAGGAGGACTGGTAGCGTTTTTCTAGCGGCTGCCGAATGGAGAGAGCTTCCTGGCGCATCTTTATTCAGCCAGGTAAATTGAAAGCATATGAAAGTCCGCGGTGCTTGGCAGGGGCTGGAGCCAAGGGTAGCTCATGTCTACACTCAGAGGTGTGGCCACAGCATGCGTGCACAGACCCGCGCTGGCTTCTGGCCAGCTGGGCAGAGACAGCAGCTAGAGCCTCTGCTGCAGCTCCTCCGCTGCTATCGGCACCCCGGTGACCGAGAGGACCGGCTCGGTTTGCCAGCGCACCACCGCTGACCACGGCATACATGCACTCGGTGGGGGAGATGCTGCCCACGATGCTGGATCTGCCCCATTGCCACCCCAGGCCTGCCTTGGAGCAGCTCCGGGCATGCCCAGGCAGCCTTGCCCCCACTGTTGCCCAGGACTAGTCAACCGGGAGGCATCTCCTCCTCTCCACCTGCCTTGCACTAAGAGCTGGGCTCCTAAAAGAGGCCTGAACCCCACCAACTTCCATTTGCTTATGGTCAAACTTTAGGGCCAAGTCTCTGAGGGAGCTGGACCAGTGCATTAGCTCCTTCCCCAACTCAGCTGTGTTTCAGGGAACCAGGATTACTGGGGTAGGGTAGGACTTTCCTCTCCCTAAAGGCTACCAACACTGCTGGCAATCAGGCCCTAGTGCTGCCAGCTGTGGGTGCCCGGCTGCCACAGCTGCTGCCCGTCAGGCTGAAGGGAGAGGAGGTGATATGAGGGAGGGAGGAAGGTTGCAGCTCTGCTGGCTGCAGAGCTGGGTGTCCTGCATCTGGCCTGCGCTGCTCTGGTAAGTTGAGGCACGTGCTGCAGAAGCCACCCTTTGCACTCCCCAGATGGGGGAACAGCCAGCTTGGGGATGCTCGGTGCCTGGGGGAGGTGTAGCCAGCAAGTTTTGTGGCCCCTCTGAGGACCCTGTGCCCTGAGCAGGTGGTCTTACCTGCCCTGGGGCTTGGAGACCTGCTGCCAGGTAAAGACTTTTGGGGGGCGTCACTCTGGCCTGCCCGTGACCCCTTGTTACGCTGGCTGTGAAGGTGCAAGGATATGGCCATGGTGGGGTCTGCCTGGCCTTGGGCCTGCTGGGGGGGGTGGCTTTGCTTAGCCCTGCCATGCAGCCACCTCCCGCATGGCCTTGTGAGCCTCCACAGCCCTTGAAAGCAACGCGTGGGTGCACTTGTCTCATGCGGGGAGCTTGCTTTCTCAGTGCCAGCCTGGCTGCAAAGTCTATTGCCTGTTGCGAGGAGAGAGCCTGGCAGCGCAGGGCACTGGGCAAGCTGGCCTCACCTCTGCTGCTGGCGCTGGGCTGAGAGGCAGGGCTACGACCTGTGCTAGCTCGCCCCGGCGCTGCCTGCCCCGCCGGACTGGGCAAGGGGGGGCCGAGCTTGTACCGCTAAGTGCTGACAGGACGTCACTGTCAACACGATGTTCCGCCTTGATGAACCTTCATATATAAAGATATTTAATGAATTAGTTAATTAATGAGCGGAGTTTGATTGATGGATCACACAGAGTTCTCAGCAGGGTGAACCTGACCCTGGGATATTGCCGCTGCTGCTTCAATGCATCCCCTCGTTGGGCCGAAGCGTGCGGCATTCTGGCAATTTGCATGCATTTAATGTAGCTCTTTAATAGGATGTAATGTTAGCGAAAAGCCAAAAGCACAGCAGCTGTAACTTAAAAGACAGCCCCATTACTGCAAGCCTTATAATTAGGGTAAGAGGGAGCCTCACGCTGCCATATGTTAAACTCTTTTGAGGTTAATAGCTCTGTAAGATTTTGCAATTTAAAAAAATTAGACTTGAGGAATGATGACAAGGCTCGTCCACGCAGCTCTGCCCATCGCGGGCTGGGACGCGCCATCCACCTGCTGCCCGCGTGGATGGGCTGGGACAGGCGGGTGCCTTGCGGGTCCTGGTCCCTCCTTCCTCATGCCTGGCCTCTCCACCTGGCTTCACTTTGCTCTGCTCCCTTCTTCCCGCTGGCTTTCCCCCTTACCTGTGCTGTGAGGGCTGCCTTGGCTTCCTTTCAGAGGGTGCCAGCAGCATGCATGTGCAGCCCTTCTCTCGCCAGCGTGGCTTTTTTCAGTGCATTCTTGCATGGTACCTTCACCTGGCTTAGCTGATATGAGCCAGAAGCAGCTGGTTGCACAGTGCTTCCCCCTGATTCCACCCTGCGCATGCAGCTGCTTTATCCCAGTTTATCAAGTTGCCAACAGTCCTGTCTAAAAGGAATTGGGATAGAGGAGTGTGGCTCAGTGGTTAGAGCAGGGATCTGGAAGCCAGAGCCCTGAGGGCACATGCAGAGTGTCGAAGGACGATGCCAGGAAAGCGCCGCGTGCTCCACAGCCTGGAGCAGAGGTAAGGTAGCTGTCTTTGCACGGTGCCGGCCATGCTCCAGTGAGCTCGCTGTCTTGGGTGCATGCATTGGCATGCGCCCAGCAGCACGCGGAGGCAGCTGCTCTACACCCATTCCAGGGCGCAGAGCCTTTGGAGTAGGAACGTCACTGCTGCGCACGCATACTCGCTCGCGTGGTCCTCTAGCGATGTGGATGTGGCCTTAGGTTTTGGGGCTGGGTCTCTGGTAGAGTGGGGATGTCATGTAGGGGCTGAAGCAGAGGCGTAGGAGCGAGGCGCTTGGTTCTGTCCCTACCTTTGGGGAAAGACTGGTCTAAGAACAGTTTGGCCCTCGGGAAGGGGCTGGGAGCAGGGCTCCATGGGCATGTCTACACATGCATTAATGCACTTCAATTAAGGAGCATTATATCTAATACCTCCATGGTGAGGTACCAGGAAAATGTGCATTAGCCTGTCTTAATGTGCATTAACTAAAGAGCATGGTTTTTAAGTGGCAGTTAAATGCATATTAAAATAGGCTAATGTGCATTAAAGTGCATGTGTAGATGCACCCTTAGTTTCTCCTGAGCAGTCACTGACTTCCTGGGTTGGATTTTTCTCCTTTCTGGGCCTCGGCTTCCTCTCCCATAGATCAGGGACTGCATGCTGTACCAGGGTGTTGCAAGATGCCCTGTCTAAGGGGTTTGAAGTCCTCTAGCAGGGGAAGTGCATGGAGCAGCTACATGTGATGAGTGTTTGCAGGCTGTAGCTGTGCTCCTCGTGTTGCTGCTTGTATGCCAGGGCTGTGGGATGACTGTGGGACGTGGAGCAATGCGGGCTGCCCAGCTGAACGCTGCTTTGGGCAGAGACCTTTCATCTGAACAAAATGCCGGCACCAGGCTGGTGCTCTCAATAGCCAGCAGCAGCAAGATGGGATCGTAGCCAGTTGGGCACTGCAAGACAGCATCAGGATGAGCCCACGCTGCCTAGCACCAGCTCTTCTGATCAGGGAGCTTCCTCCAGCACGAGTTTCTGCTTTGCTCATCCAGCCTGTCATCCTGCAGGCCACCCTTAGCACCCTCTTCCCCCCTGTGCTCATAGCCGTCCCCGCCACCACAGCTGCCTGCTCAGTGCTCACTTTGTCATCCCCCCTCCCTCCAAGGTGGCTGGGAGCTCCTTGCTGAAGCCTGCGGCCCTATTGCAAGACCATAAAGGTCGTTAGCATCTGCAGGCTAAAGACCTCCAGTGCGGTGGTAAGATGCCTATCCCCTTTGGCTCTCAGCACCATATGAAATCCCACCTGATTAGCACATGACTGAGCGCCTACCTTATGGTCTCTTTTCCGTGTTGCTTCCCCTCTGCAAGGCCCGGAAGATGCATTAATGAACGTGGGAGTCGAACCAAGCTCCTGATGAAAAGTGCTCTGGTTGTCTTGATTCATGTTTAAAAATGTGTGAGACAAATGTAGGGCTTAATTGCACAATTACATTGAGAGTAGTAGGGAA